CGGCGCTGACTAGGCGCTCACGTAAGCCACGTCAGCACATAACGGACTCTTTTAACGGAGTTGGACGGCAACTAACGGCAAGTGACTAAATGTGTCCAGTTTTAGTGATTGTAGTGACCAAATTTGATATTAACTTTTTATAGTGACTAAACATGTCCCGATTTTGTAATCTCAGTGACCGAATGTGTCTTAACCCTTTTCTTGGGCTTCGGTTCCCTAGTGCATATGAATTGATTGGTTTGGTTTCTTTATGCCCACGTGGATATATATATATTTCAATATGGATTTGGGGATTATTTGGTATAATTGGAGTTGAAGTTTGATTTTTTGGGAACTTTGTGAACGGTTGCCACCAAGCCGTCGTGAGGTGTTTGTGTGTTAGGGTTTGCGACTATCTCATTAATTTTTATAGAAAAAATTAAGGATGGCTGCTATCAATATGAAGATTAATAAGTGTAGTAGGAGAAACAGATTCAGTTTGTGACAGATCAAAATGCAAGTACTGTTGAAACAACAGGGTTTGTGGGCTCAGTTGTCTGAAAAATCGAAGAAGAAAAGCATAGATGAAGAAGAGTGGAGTACTTAGGAGGAGAAAGCTCACTCTACAATCTTGCTTTGTTTGGCTGATGACATCATCACTGAGGTTGCTGCCGAGAAGACTGTCCGGAATTGTGGTTGAAACTTGAAAGTCTATACATGACAAAGTCTTTAACCAACAAGTTGCATATGAAGCAATTTTTGTTCAGTTTGAGTATGGAGGAAGGTATGTCTCTCAGAAATCATCTAGATCAACTCAATACTATCTTGTTAGATCTGCGAAATATTGATGTTAAAATAGATGATGAGGATGTTGCCTTAATTCTGTTAGTATCTTTGCCAGTCATATGAGAATTTTGTTGATTCTTTTATTGCCGGGAAAGATAGTTTGTCTTTGGAAGATGTCAGATCTGCTCTACATACTAGAGAAGTTCGACATAAGGCGTCTGGTTCTGGTTCGGAAAATCAGGCATCTGGGTTGGCTGGTACGAGTAGTAGGAGACAACAATCTGGGGATAGGAAGGCGAATACAAATTCGAATTCTGCTGGTTTGAATGACGATATCTGTCATTACTGTAAGGAGAAAGGACATTGGAAATTTGATTGTCCTAAGCTAAAGAAATGTCAGGAGAAGAAGAGATCATATGTTGTTGTGGCGGAAGAAACTAACTCTGATTCTGAAGATGGTTTAGCCTTAGTAGTGAATGAACAGGTACATCATCAGGATGTGTTGTATCTAGATACTACAGCTGATTATCATATGTGTCCAAGCAGAGAGTGTTTTTCAACTCATGAGCAGATAGATGGAGGACATGTTTCTATGGCCAATGGTGCTAGCTACAAGATTGTTGGAAAATGCTCTGTTAGGATAAGGACACATAATGGTTTTGTTCGCACCTTGAACAATGTTAGGCATATTCCAGAGATGACTAAGAATCTGATATCTTTGAGTCTACTAGACAACAAGGGTTTCAGTTTCAAAGGTGAAGGTGGAGTGTTGACTGTCTACAAAGGTTCTAAGGTGCTTATGAAAGGTGTCAAGGTTGGTGCCTTGTATGCTCTACAAGGTTCTATTTTGACATGTTATGTTGGTGATAAGTGCACCAAGTTGGTTTTGAATGACAAGTCTCAACATGGGTTGGACTTGCCGAATGGTTTGGTTTGTTGACCGCCCTTAGGGGCATTTGGAGGCAGGGGAGATTCTGGTTCATCAGATGGTTTGGAGGAGTTGAGTACATTTGGCAACTTTGATTGCGTCTGGTACATCTTATATTTGAGAGAGAATTCAAGTCAAGGTGGAGATTGTTAGAATATGACTTGAGTTTGTTTTGTGTTTTGGGCCTGTTTGGATTTGGGTTTTGTTTTGACCTTTACCTTGTATGTTTGGAAAAGGTATTTGGTTTTCTGTTTGGGATTAAGAGAAAGAGTTCTATAAATACTCTTCATCACCCTAATCTGTTGTTAGGTCAGTCATGTTAGTTTGTTTGGTCTGTTTTGGAATTTGGTTTGTAACCTGTACTCACTCAAATTAGTGAAATTTGTTCTCCCCTGCCTGTGAATTAGCTTGTGTTAGTGAACCACGTTAAATTTGTGTTCGATCATGTTGATTTGGATTATCGATTGCACGGTTCTTACAAAGTTATACATTTTTTAATTTTCCAACCCAACAATTAAGTTCATTTGTATTAGTAGAACATATTAAAATCGAGAGAGAAACCAAAAATGTGAAGTCTGGAAAGATAATTGCTTTATGAATAAATCAATGTTGTCAAAGCCGAGTCGGAGTATGACCCGGTAACGTGAACGGCTCGGTCATTAGTGGTTCAGCCGGCATTAGACCGTTTAAAAACCGTTTGAGAACCGGTACATTATAAACAATATATATCATAGTAGAACACACATAAAGTAATAATTCAATGATTTAATGAGTAAAAATGATAATTACAGGTACCATTTAATAATTCTGCACAACATATATATACAACAACTAAAAAAACCCCTAACCTAATCCTAAGCGACAATGCCGCTTCCCCACCCATCACTCTCCTTCCTTTCGCTTCCCATCCCCCCTCCCTTTCTCCTTCCTCCTCTCCCACCGCCGCACCTATTTTCATTTTTCAGCCACTATAGCCTTCTGCAATTCCTCAAAAATCCATCACCTCATCCTTTCTTAACCCGTAAATGCTCTTCCTTGTCCCAATCCGCGAAATGGCTCGGATTCAATCCAAGCCTCTAGTGAGACAAGGCAGCTTAGCGAGGAGCTGCTTGCGACGGTGGCGACGGGATGGAAGCGCTGGGAGCGGGGAGCTGCTTGCTACAACAAGGACTGGCGATGGCGATGGCGACTGGGGATGGCGATGCCGGGACAAGAGGTGTTGACGGCCGATTCCACGATTGGCCTTTTCTATTTTTTTAGGGTAAATCAAACGGCCGAACCGCGCGACCGGCTCGAGCGGTTAACCGCTTCAGCCGCTCGCCGGCCGCTGTATAAAACCGTGGCGGTTAAATAGCTGATCCGAGCCGGTTTTACGGCCGGGTGGCGGCTTTGGCGGTCCGGCCGGCCGGCTTGGTTCGGCTTTGACAACACTGGAATAAATACAAAATGTGAAGCCGGTGGATTCTAATAAGTACATATATAAATCAGATATGAACGAAAAAGAATCCATCCCCTCGAATCATACGATACAAAAAAGAAACCATGTTTGTGAATATGTCCAACTAATTAACCAGCTACCATTGTCCAAAAAATAATTAACCAGCTACCTGTTCTATCTAGATCTAAAAAAAATGAGGCGATCGATCAGATAACAAATCGAGAAAATGAAAATCAAACAATCTGGAGGGCATCCCCTAACTGCAACCTCAAGTCGTAATTCTCCAGCGGCGTCAAGTTCAAGTCCAAATCCAAGCACGTGATCCGATTCTTGGCGGCGGCGGCGGCGGATTTCTTCATCGTCGCCACCGCAGGCAACAAACTCATCGCGGCCCGGTGGCGCCTCATGTGGCCTCCAAGGGCCTGGCCCATGGCGAATTCCAATCCGCAGATACCGCACTCGTGGGTCTTCTTATTGGGCTTCTCCGCCGCCAACACGAGCGGGCCCATCTTGTTGGGCTTGTTGTGGCTTGCCCGGTGGCCTCCCAGGGCCTGAAACGACGAGAACTTCTTCTCGCAGGTCTTGCACTCGAACAAACGACCGCCACCCGCCGCTGCCGTTGTGGACCGGGAAACGACGGCGTGGTTGTCGGCGGCTGCGATCTTGGAGAGGAGAATCAAGCAGCTGGCCACGTCGTCCAGCTGGTGAGTATCTCTGGCGGCCGGTGCGGGGAATCTCTTCATCGTCATGGTGATGTCAATACACTGTCTGAAAACTGAAGTGAAGAAGGGTTTTGTTTTTTTGTTGGAGTGGATTATTGGGAGTTGGCGAGGAGATGTATTTATAAGGATGATGAGAAGGGAAAGGAAAGCGTGAGGCGGTGGAAGTGGAAGTGGCAGTGACGTGTGTTGTGGGTAAGCCGCGTATTTCTTCCGTTTCTTTCTCCGTTGCTACCTCGGATTCGGATGATTTTTCTTGGCTTGGGGGCTAAGTAATTTGGCTAGGGCTAGGAACGGGGGGGTATTATGGGTAATTAAGGTGTGGAACTTACGTGGAACTCCACAGTGGCTGGTACTCTCACTACGCTGTTTTCCGCGTTTCGTTTATTAGTTAGTTGCAGCGGTTCAGTCTTGTGGAGTGGGGATAAATTTTATATTTTATATTTTTGTTAGGATATTCTGTTTCGGTAAATTGTATGACTTGTACAACAAGCAAGCAGCAGTCTCAGGTCCAAGAAGATATAAAAGCAAAGCGCCTTCCCACTAGGCGCGTGCGTGACGATTCCCACCATGACGCCATCCTAATCCTTCTATTCTATGATCCAAAAATCCATCTTCTCCATTTCTTCTTCGCTGGTAATTTCTCTGAAGTTCACTCTTGGTCGTGGGTAGGAATCAATCATGGATTGACTGTTGAATATCACTCTTTATTCCTCTTTTGAAATTTGCTGATGGTGATGTATTAATGTACTATAAGACCATCAACAATAGAATGCTAACATCAACAGGGGTAGAGATAGTGTGTAATGGGGGTGGGTTTGATCAGGACCCTTCTTAATACAAGAGGTTACCTTAATATTTTTTCGAATTTAAGTGTTTGAAATTAGACTAATTAAAATAAGAATTCAACTTAGAATTTTCAAAATATAACCAAGTGGTCTATATGATTAGTCCCTTCTTCATCTCCTGCCCTTCGTTCCTTGAGCCTGTTGGTGAGGCTCTTTCGCCGCAGGTTAGACACTGAACAATGGTCATTCAGTATGGTGAGTTGGACAAAATCGGATGATCAGTTCAGTATGATGTGGAAGAGCAGCGTATCTGTGAGTTGAGCAAAATCGGATGATCAGTTCTTGGTTGTCCCGATTATAAATTGAAGGTTCTGTCTTTCTTTTAACTCCCAAATTCATATGCTCATTTGTGGGCTCCTCCTTTGTGTGGTTTAGGTTTAGGTTCAATGCTGAGAGAGAAAGGGAGCAAAAGATTGCAGTGTCTAAGAGATGAGCCAAGCATCTAATATTGTTTTGATACAAGCAGCCTGTTGCATCCTACTTTCTTGAAACAAACGGTATGATAATAAGATACAGGAAGACAGTTTCAAACCGGCTGCCTCTTCTAATCAATTTATCCCTTCATTCTGCTCAATCAGCTATGTTAACCTCAAATCTGCTTCTCACCTCCCGATAGAAACCTTCACCAGTCAACCTTGTTTAACGAAAAATCATCAAACTCACAGCCAAATCGTTTATTCTTAACCTTCGCCGCCTCTTCCCCATCCTTGAGAGATCTCTAATGATGATCATGCGCATCAACAGAAGATTGCACAAGGACAAACAAAGGCTTGTCTCCCAGACGTTCACGACCCTGATATACATACAAGATATAGGGAACATCAGTAAGACGAATGGATGAAAAGATCATACTGTATTATCATGGCAGAGATGCACGACGATACCTTCAGCTCAGGCAGCTCCATGAGACAAGCGCACTCATAAACTTCAACCCCAACACGCTCTGCAGTGAAAACCAAGCCAAATATAGGATTCCAAGATCGATGCCATTTTGTGTCACAGATAACATTGTCAGTTATACACACTGATGAAGCTAACATATGTAGGAACTTCATAGGCTCAAGCAGACTAAGCACATACCTAGAAGCCTGATTGCAGCATTCAACGTGCCACCAGTTGCAATGAGATCATCAACTATCAGTGCACGTTCACCAGCTTCTACAGCACCTACATGCATTTCTATCTTGTCTGTTCCGTATTCCAGGGAGTACTCTTCCGATATAACCTCCCCTGTAAAATGATTCAGTATCAAGCCCACGGAGTAGTTAGGTATATTCATTTCAACTTTGCTACTGGTTCTACGATGCAAAGCTTGCACAATTGCACACAGTAGATCCGGGAAAAGCTAAACAAAACAAAAAAACTGAAAACTTTACCAGGCAACTTCTTGGGCTTCCTCAACGGGACAAACTTCGCGCCAATAGCCAATGCAATGGGAGGGCCAAATATGAAACCCCTTGCTTCAATACCTGCACCATGTAGCATACACTGTGAGGCACAATCTTGATTATGCCATCAAACCACAAGGCAGATAAGCTACAATGACTAAGATGTCAAACCAAGTAATCAACTAGGCTACACCACCGGCTATTCTCGATATGCAGAGTTGGAAGGAGGATCTTTAGGGCTAGTCGAGACGAGATATGGCCGATTGATGGGGAAAATGGGCAAGGAGCAATCAAATTTCAGTTCTGCGTTAACATAGTTTCTCAATCTCCCCCCCCCCCCCCCCCCCCCCCCCCCCCAGCAACAACGGATTGAAGTTTTTCAACTAGCTGCTGAGTTCCTACAACGCGAAATCTACACTGACATTTCCACCAAGTTACTCATTTGAACTGCTAATTGCCAATCAACACAGGACTGCGATGGTTTTTCAAGGGAGTCCAGACCAAACAAGTGATTAGCACCGATCTAGATCATCTTAATAGCTTCTATCTAAACCTACAGCTCTCTAGCTACTGCAAGTATACTACAAATGAATGCAGCTACAATCACCCTAAAGGCATGAAAGAACGCAGATAAAGTCCGCGGGGGAGAATTCAAATTTACCAGCGACGACGGAGATGCCTTTGTCCTTGTACCGGTCGACGAACAAATCGATAGTGTCCCTGAACGCCTTCACGTCAAGAAGCAGCGTCGTTATATCCTGAAACATAATACCTTCACCAGAAACCAACCAGTACAATAAAATCAGTCTCCGATCAACTCTAAGTCAACGGAGATGCAGAGGAATAAGAAGGAAAAAACTAGGTTATGTAGCTACCTGCTTTGGGGAAGTCAGGGATGACTCGAATCGAGGCAGCGATTCCGGCGAGGCGAGGATCCTGCTGTGCGGCCATTTCTCGATTCGACGGTGACCGTGAGTCGGCGGCTGCTCAAAGACCAGAGTCAGTAGAAGGCAGGAGTGAAGAAGAAGTAGAAAGCGGAGGCGACGGAGAAAGAGAGTAAAGAAGAAAGGGCGGCGGAGCAAATAGCATATAGACGCGTAATAAAATCAAACGGCCCACGCTTCAGCTGGGAAATTGACCAACTTAAATACCTAAATTGCCCTCCTCTTATAGAATGCAAAATGAAATGGCGGCGGCGGGAGGGAGGGAGGATCTTTACCGGAGCAGCGTAGAGAGATTGGAGTTCTGGCGAGGCTGGAAATGACGTGAAGGCGGAGAAGCGGAGGAGGAGGAAGGATGCAGGAGGCGGCGGGCGGCGGCGGCGGAGAGGAGGAGGAGAAGAAGAAGAAGAAGAAGAAGAAGAAGAAGGGACAACGGAGGAGGGAAGGGGCGTGGATCATAGTTATAGTAGGACCCGGAGGACGAAAGGAGGCAATTTAGAAGGTGGTGGCGTTTAGAGAAGGAAGAAAGTGGGTGGCTTTCTCGAGCTTATGTCATTCTTGTTAGGTTGAATACCGCTTTTGTGCAACCCTGCTAACGATCTGATCGAAAAAAATTCTAGGTCTAGGTTGAATCGATAGGTGGTTTTCAGTAGTATGAAACGATAAATTATGGTTTGATCACGATAGTGCTTTTTGCTAATCCATACCAGAGATATCTAAGTTTGCATATTAGTATCAAAACGAAGCTAGATGTTGCTCGTAAAATTAACAAATTATGTTCACTATTCTACTTTTTATGGGAGTTGGAAATAGCAAGACGTGCAAAAAGATCATCTATGAAAGACAATTTACCTCGAGACATCATTGTGTATGTTGGATTGCTTGCTTGAAAGGCCGCATCATCTCCCAATAGCCAAGCTACAGAGAGAGAATGGTACCAATTTAGATTCATAAAAGGAAATGATTGCTAGTGGAGAATATACTAAATCGATACCGAAATGATAGAACGATAACGTGGCAAGAAACGCATTATATCTCAACTATTCACACTTAACAATATTGAAATTCTAATACGAATAATTTAATTAACATATAACTCAAATGCTCAGGGTCCAATTAACATTCGGCAACAGAGCAGCTGAATGCAGTGATTTGGCAGGAATTGGATACCCATCAGATGAATGCTCTGCTTGTGTTAGGTTAATACAGCTCACCTACTGAGAGAAAAACCGGCCGGAGAAACTCCGACCGTCGTTGCAATCCACTCCGATTGACCGGCACTCGATCACTTTCTTGAACAACGGAGAAACCCAAAAATATTTATGGATCAATCGTTGCAATCCACTCCGATTGACCGGCACTCGATCATTCAAGGTCAGTAGCTGAACATTTTGTTTTTTGTTACTTATTTATTTACTAGCTTATAACCCGACCCGTTGTTCGGAGGTAGTTGACCCGACTATTGATATGGACGTAATAATGCTCTTGGATCATGTATATTGTGAGGGTAGCATCTCATTAGCCACTTTTCATTAGTTGGTAATGGAATAGGGAATAAGTGACGTGAATTTGTTTCGGTGTTTAGGATACCAAAGAAAACTGCAAAAATGAGACCTACTTTGAGTTAATTAAACTGAACATCTAGCAAATATTCATTGTATCTACCAGACAGATGAGGACAACACTTTAATTCGAACTGAATAAGAGGTTTCCCCTTATAGTTACGAAAGTAATTAGAAGAAAGATTAAAATTTGGAAGTGAAAAGAAATACAAATTTAATTATTCAAATTGAGATGGAGACTAAAATATTGGTGAGAATCCAAATGTAGCTTGTTTGCAAAATATACCGGCATGAAACACATTTAAGAGGAAGAAAACATAGTATATATGTCCTTCTGGTTTGTTTTATCTTCTCACCATAGTTAGCATTCGCATGAAAAAAAGGAATGATAATAAAACTATCATGTTTTCTTTTGGAGTGATTGAAAGATGTGAAACACATACAATCTTTGACAATAACAACATGACCATCAATGTTGTCATTACTTCCATCCCATGTAGTGATGACCTAGGTGGGAATCCATGGGTGGTCATAGATTGGAAATAGGAATACACACTCTAGATATCAGCCTCTGCTAAAAGATAAAGTGGTAAGAATGGTAAAAAAGGGTTATAGGTATAATATGTTCCTCTATCATGTAGTTTTATCAAACATGCCACTCTACTATTTTTTACATCAACCATACCCTATGCTTTGGAAAATTGTCAAACATGAGCTATGTTAAAAATTCAATTAAAAATGAGATAATAAACTAACAGATTGATCCGCAATAGTTATTGAACTTGAACAAATGTATTAGTTTCTATTTGGTAATCAATGGATTGATGCATGTGAGATATGTCTACCAATCAAGCAATATTTTTTTTTTGTAGGAAGCCACCACATTTCAACCAATAATATTTGTGGTTAGATGGTAATTTTTTACTTTTGAATAAATAAAGTACATGTATCAATGACAGCTAATTAGTAAGCAAGCGATTAGTGATTCATTGAAAAGGAATCCAAAACTTTGGTCGGCAAAGGTAGTGAAATAATCGAGTCTCGAGTTAATAAGAAAATTGAAATATATTTCCTTTCAATCAAAGTTCACCATGTTATTACACGATTTACACCCAAAAAAAAGTTCACCATGTTAGTTAGGTACAAAACAGTAAAGTGTAATATTTTCACTTAAAAAATGAGTGGTCATTGTGACAATCAAGTATCAACTCTTCGTATCATAGCCAACAATCAATTGCCCTCAGTTGAAAAATTACTCCACAATTACTTTGTCATGTTTGTTGGTCTTTCCATGATCCTACTAAATATAAGAACAACGAACCTTCTCGTCAACATCTAACCACCACAATAAAAATTAAGTAAAATAAAGATCGTCCACGTTATACAGGCTAATGGATCCAAGATGGAATGATATAGGATCTACTATAGTCATATCAAAACAAATTCATGTGAAGACCAAAGGAGAATTTCAATTTGAAAAATATGAAATACTAATCCTTGAGATGCTCTCTAAGTTCATTGTTCAAGTCTTCCTTTGTTTGATCCCAAAATGAAACTAAATAGCCTATCAAAGATGTGTGACCTACCATAACCCTCCGTTTTTTCTCCTGATGCAGGAGATGCAATAGAGATATTTGTCATCCATTTCACATCCTTCATCGGTCATCATGTAACTGAAAAAAGTAAAAGAGAACAAAAATTTGGTTGATAAGATAGCTAATAAAAAAATGTAATAAAATGAAAGCAGGAAAAAGGAAATTCCCTAGAAATGACTAAGACACCACTCCAAAGACTTTGCACCATTAGTTCAAGAGTGCATATTCAATCAATCATCTGTCCTCGTTTTGTTGGCTTGAAATGGAACCGACTACCACCTCTGATAGTAAATTCCTAAGTTCTAGAAAGAGATTCATGAATGCAAGCCTTCTTCCCTATCTACTTTATCATTCAGTCTCGTTTTGCTCTAGCAATCTTTCTCCTCTCGATCTCGTCATAGTTGTTCAATAGTAAAAACTAAAAACAAAAGAGAGGGGCCTTTGCATAAAAGTCTACCGTAGCCATATTCATATCTTCACCAGTAACCGTACTACTCTTTTAGCTAGTATGAATTCCCTAATGAATCCTTTTTTCGGAAATTCAATATAAATACGTAATCATAGACAAACCAAAGGGCAAGTTCCTAGTGATTATCCTCAGGGCCACCCTCATAAATACAATATTGCATTTCCACAGCTCCAAAGTTGATCAGACATGGAAATCATAATCTTCCATCTCACACAACTTAAACAGAACTCGGAATAGTACTAATGAAGACCAGAAAACAGGTATATCTTGTAAACGGCTCAATTAACACGTACATCAACAGATACTGGATTTGAGAAAGGTTGAGATGAACTCACATTTGAATGGAGATTCTTTCTTGCTATTTCAATATTCTCCTTAACATCCTGCTGATGCTGCTTCTCCAATTGATCCATTTCATTCGCCTGTCTAATCTTATCTTTAATCAAGGGAAACAAATTATCTAAAGTTACCAACCTAAAAACAACATTACCTTTTAACAACAAAGAAGTACATATACATGGATATTACAAATATAACATGTTAAAGCCAAATTACAGAAGTCTCTTAACATTCAGTTTAGCTAACAGATGTAGGTTTTAAAAATGATCTTTTTATGCAAAATAGGTTTTAAAATGTTGTGTTTAAATGGAACTCCTTAGAATAATAATGAATAATAACTGGAAGATCAAGGAGAAACTACACGGAACAGACCTTTTAAAAACACAGAAAGGAGAATCATTGAGAAGTAAGAGATGAAGGGCGATGATTCCCTAAACGGCTATGAGATATGCAAGAGAACTTTAAAGTTGAAGAACAAATAGTGAGCCTGACCCAAAGTTCCCATCAATTTACAACAAAAAATGCACAATATCATTCAATCACGACAAAGGCATGAATCTAACTCACTAAAGGAAACAGCTAAGAACCCAACAGCATTACAAACACACCCACCAGTTATTGAACAAAGCAAATGAAATTCATCACTTACCCGTCACTTTCAAGCTGAGAAAACTCATGTTTCTTTTAGTCGAAGGATACACATTCTCTGAATATCAAATAATCAAGGAAATTAAGGTTACGAAACAACCCAAATGAAGCTCATTACTTACCCCATCTCTTGACTTTACCAAACTCAAGTTCTCATATTTCCCAAGCATAAATAGTTTAGCACACTGACATGTTAGCACTCGAGCGTCTGTAAGTATATTTGAACAAATCAATGCATTAACATGTATTAAAATTGACCGAGTTTTTTGGGCATGAAGATGTGCAGACCTAAAGTACAGTTGAGGATGTGCTTGAATCTTCTGTTTGCTCAAAAACGTTGAACCAGCGATGTTCTTGAAAATGCGTCAATTCCCGTGCCCAGAAATAACCCTTCGTTTTTTCCCTTCCCAGAAACATACTCGAAGTCTATTCGCCGACTTTCCCTCCGCCGCTTCCCTGCACGCATCACCTCCGCCACTCCCAAGCTCAGCAACAAAGTGAAAAGCGTCCGTCGATCCTACCCAGAACCCGTCGACCCTCCCCCTATTCCTCTGTATGCTCCTCGATTCACTAAGGAAGAGAAAATCCCGGCCACCTCTGTTCGTTCCTGGATTCGTCGGAGAAGAAGTTTACATGGAGAGAGACCGAACCGAAAAAGATACCTGTCAATACCCAGCCACTACAAATTAGACTGTAGATAGATTGGGCCGAGAAGCATAAAATAGGCCCACCTGAAACAGATGCACCTGCCAGCCGTGGGAAACAATTTTTCCCTACTTTCCAAAATTGCCCCTCCGCAAAACGCTCTGGAAGCAGAGATTTTGAAATGGGGCTCCCGTTTTTCCCTTCCGCCTATTATATTATGTATAGATTTATTTGAGCCGGAACATTTTCATATTTAACTGTAGCGGTATATATATATTTATATTTTGGACAACGCCACAGGGCGGATAGGTAACTCAAGACTTTGGGCTTAAGGCCCAGTCGTATCACATCTCCACTTGATCGTCATGAGTCTTATGGGCTTTGTAAACCCAAAAAGGGTTTGGGAATAGAGCCCACTTTCTACATGGGCAATAATTTTCAGGAGGATAGTGGGCCGGCCTCGGTTTTTATTTTATTTTGTGAGGCGTTCAAGAATTGACTGGCTACGTTAAAGTCAGAATATATTTGGTCAAATTCTTGCATGCATTTTAATGACTGTCCGCCCTTGATTGCAGGGGCATGGAGGTTTAGAGGTGTCTCGGGACACCCCTAAAATTTGGAAATACGATTATCCGACTTTCGATAGTAGTTTGTGTATGGGTAAAAATAAAATTAGTAATAGTGGGACACCCTTAAAATATGGAAAATGATTATCCAACCTCCTATAGTATTCTGCATATGAGTACAAATAATATTTAAGTGATAGTGTCTATGTGATTTGAACTTGGAACTATTAGTAAATATAGTTTCAATTAGACTACAACTCATTTGGAGTTATGTTTTAGATCAAAATACAATAGTAAAAGGCTATTCTTATCCCCAAATTTTTTTCAAAACCTAAAGATTAAACCCAATTACGGGCTACCCTTGTCTTGTAGGATATGTCACGAGAGATTTGTTGAGCAGTGTAAACACCGAATGTATTTTTACCATTCTTTCACAATACGGAACATGTTTGAACTTTTATTCTAACTTTTACTAGTTGAATATTTTCATATTTAATAATTATTTAATTTTAAATTATAATTACGTTTTTTAAGAGGACACCCCTATTTAAAATTCCTGAATCCGCCACTGCTTGATTGGGATAACAAAACTTTTGTAACTATGCATTCAAAAATATTCACTATCCCACTCACAAAGAGTGTGTGTCATAAAAAGTGCAGATCCGTGATTTCTTAATACAACGTTACTTAACGTTTTACGCATTCTAGCAAGAATATTAGTCAAACATAGAATTGCTCATACTTTAGTATAGCTTGCACTAACAAAAAGAAAAACCGATCCGAAACCATATGTTTTCTCCAATTAAGTTATTCGACTAGAAGGTATTGCTTGTCACTAACGCGAAAAACATTAGTCGATAACCATTCATGATACAGACTCTGCCCAGCTCTTTCCCATCCCCTTTGTATCATTAGATAAAGAGTTACGAAGTTCCTAATCACATCTCTAATTAATGACTGTCCTTCTAAATGGAAACATGAATTACAATATAGAAAAGAGCATGTTGAAAATGAAACAAACGACACAACAGTACACCATCCGTGGCACATGTTTTTCAGTGCCTCCAACCAAGTCCACAACAGCAGGCAGGCAGGCAAAAAAAAAAGTATATATAAATCAACTAGCTAATTACTCATATAATTAATTACCAACGAGTTAACCGATGCGTGCGTGTAAATGATTGGGAAAGGAGAAAAGAAAACCCCATTGTATATCTTGGGTGTCATTTTCGTCACCTGAATGGATTATGTAAGCAATGACAAGTCCCCTTTTTTCAGCCCTGTTTGTTTAATGCCTTAGCCTCGTCACTTGTGGCCGACTTGTATATTTTGCCATCTAGAAAGATAGATAGTAAGCAGAAAATATGCACATTCGTCGACGCTTCCATTTCTCCCTGTGTGTTCGATTTTGATGCTCATCCTTTTTTTTTTCCCCCACCCAATTACCCTTTACCAACACAGAAAGAAAGAAACGTCGCCTTGCGTGGGCATCAAGTCGACGTTGAAAATGGCCTCAAAGAGATTAATTAGTACTACATGCAAGCCAAAACCCAACAAGGAAGGTGGAGGGTGTAACCACTAACATGTGTGGTTACCGACTTTCAGCTCCAGCTTCGACTCTAGTGGCAGCAAAACTCAACTTTATTACCAAGCTTGCTTTTGTGGTGTACTGGCTACTTCACGATCGAACATGTGTTTTTTTCCTTTCAAAGTCACCACCCTGCCCGACCCAAATATGTCGGCAGGAAAACGGGCGCGTGGCAGATTCGCTCGCCACGGGAAACAGAAATTCCACACCGCCACAGAGAAATGAAACAAAGGTTGAGTAGAGAGTAGCTAATGGAACAGAGGATATTAGCATTATGTCACAAAGTTGTGGAGTTTTTAGATAGAGGAGTGAGGAGCGGAGAGTGTGTTCTATAAGGTATAAATTTTGTGTTTGAATCTCGATAATATTATTTATTTGGTGTATTGTATTTGAATATGTGCAAATTTCAAACCTGTATAAGTATACTTTTCATTTGAGGAAATTGATAAGTAAATATCTGATCCGTAATCGAACATCTCCAAACCTGTATGTGTAGTTGTAGCACTGGTCTTGAACAATCTAAAATTTCTCAAGCTGACCACTTAATTGGAAAAAGATATTTCTCAAGTTGACCCCATTAATAATAATCTAGCTGCATGCAACAAGTGTTTAATAACTGTTGATTCAGAGACTTAGAGATTCATGCACTTAAACTACTACGATTCTAAATGTCTGGGTTCAGGGTTTCACACTTGGAGACTGCAGTGATCGTTCGTTGGTTCGGAATTTGTCCAAAGTGCCATTACCTAGGTGCCGCCGTGTCTGTTCCATTGAATTTTCGGTGACCAAAACCCTCTTTTGGGCTTTTATTGGACGGCCATTTTTTTTTTCAACGGGCCCAATTCAGCCTTCAAAGTCGGCGGCACACGTGTAACCCCCTCGATGCTTCTCGCATCTTCTTCTTCTTCTTCTTCCCCTCTCAACCGTTATCCAACCAACCAAGAAAAGAAACCTCAATTTCATCTGGAACTACAACTCTACTGCGTGTCATCAACCGCCTTTCTGGAAAAACCCTGAACCCTAATTAATCTCGTCATCGCACACGTCATAATTAATTAGTTATCCGTCCGAAGAAAAAAAATCTCTTCTACTGGGTTCGAAGGTTGGTAAAGATGTTTTAAACTTTCTACCAAAAAAAAAAAAAATCTCTTCTACTCCGCGTTGCTTACTTGCTTAGTCCTAATTATAGCTTTGATTACACAGCATTAAGAACAATTATAGCTTGATTAGTGGTAGACGAAAGTGAGAGGAGAGTTGCATCTAACCTGCCGGCTGCAGATTTTAGATTAAAAGGAGCCAAAACCCTACCAGAGGCCCAAGAGAGACCGCGTTTCTTGGAAGCAGTCCGGTCCATGGACCTAATTATAATTTAATTAAGTCCCGTCCACTGCTCGCCAAGTGGGCTAACAGTATCCACACTTAACTCACTTCCTACACACATACTTTGACCGACTTCACTCTTCGCCACCAAGAAAACTCTACTCCTCCTAGTCCTACGTGGCCGCCAAGCAAATCCCTTTATTCCTTTTTATCAATAAATACGGATTACTACCAAACTGTCCAAATTCCCAAAACACCCCTGAACGCAATTAATATCCCCAACTATAAACGTGGTTTCCTCGTTAGGCATTTTTTTCCGGATTACTACCCTTTTCGGCTTTTCCCCCCCTCTTAACTTTCTCAGTTCGCACCACTTGTCACGCAACTTCCTCACTTCCCCCTCTCCCCTTTATATAAATCTCCCCCCCAACTCCTTTCCCTTCCATACTCACTCTTCACTCTCCAGAATTCACAATCCAAAAAAAAAAAAAATCAAGATTCAATCTCCAGCCGTAGCGAATTCCCAACTTGAATTCTTCAATCCAGAGATGGCACTCGAAGCTCTGAACTCGCCGACGGCAGCCGGGGCGCCGTCCCCCTTCCAATTCGAGGAACCCAAACACCTCCACCGCCTCGCGGATCAGCCGTGGGCCAAGCGCAAGCGGTCGAGGCGGTCCGCGGGTCACGTCGAGCAGCAGCCCACCGAGGAGGAGTATCTCGCTCTCTGCCTCGTCATGCTCGCTCGCGGCACCACCAATTTGGATTTCTCTCCCCAACCTGCTCGCTCTGCCTCCCCTGTTCCGCCGCCAGCAGCGGCGGCAATTTCTGGTGATGCGACTGCAGAGCAGAAGATGATTTTGTCCCACAAGTGTACTGTTTGTGGGAAGGCTTTCTCGTCCTACCAGGCCCTGGGCGGGCACAAGGCGAGCCACCGGAAATCGGTCTCCGGAGATCCGGCCGATGGTCCGTCGACTTCCACTACTACGACCAGCGCCGCCGCCGCTCCTGCGCCTGTGACGGGGAGCGGGAAATCCCACGTCTGCACGATTTGTCACAAGAGCTTCCCGACCGGGCAGGCGCTCGGCGGGCACAAGCGGTGCCACTACGACGGCGGCGCCGCCGCCCACGCGGCGGAGAAGAGCGGAGTAGCTACTTCCTCCACCGTTACCCTATCCGAGGGGGTGGGGTCCACTACCACGACGAGCAACCGGGGATTCATCGACCTCAACCTCCCGGCCCTTCCGGAGTTCGCAGCCGGCGATTTCTTCTTCTCTGGCGGCGAGGACGAGGTCATGAGCCCGTTGCCGGTTGCGAAGAAGCCCAGGCTGGTGATTGCAGCATCAGCGGCGGGGCCCAAACCAGAAGTCGTCTCTCAGTAGGGTGTTATTTCAGTGAAAATTAGGGCTTTTTGTAGGGTTACTTTAGGGAATACAGTATAAGTATTCATCAAATTCACGTGTCGTTCTTTCTTTTTCCGATATATGCGCTATTATTCCCTCCCGTCGTTTATTTCTTTTTTCCTCTTGATTGGAAATTCTTTTATGTACATACAAATTACAATTACCAGCTCAAATCACTGAGCTCACACTCTGTCTCAGGTTGCCATACTACTATTGGAAATTCAATTGATTTTTATATATAATTACAATTATTATCTCCTTATATTTTTTTTTGTAATTATTAGTAATTAAGAATTAATACCTATTTAATTAATAGTTTAGTACTTCCTATTGAGTCACACGCAAAGGGGCGGCCAATAGAACAGCGTCAAACTGACGCAACGCGAGGAATGAGTCGTGAGGGTGGTGCGGAGGTGCAACAACAGCGTGAAGGTGGGCCGGTGAGTGAGATCAGCCGAGCGTGAGCATGACTCACGCACAAGTGTCGGGGCCAATATTGGAAATCCGCATAATATGTGGTAGTAAACAGTAATTTTTTTTTGTTCTTTTTCTCCGGGCCACTAGACAGCAGATCGAGAGTCGCTGAACGACGTCGGTTTTTACCAAGAGAATTGGGCAGAAAGAAAGAGGTTGTGCCAAACACGACATGTAATTACAATCTGATTCGGGGACAGATGTGATGAGTCTGGAAGAGAAGGGAGACGATGAGTTTGGTGCAGTGTTTTGTGTGGATGAGAAGGAACTGGAACTGTGGGTAGAGATTAGGATGACACGTGGCCATTACTTAAGCAAGTAGGTCTTTCACTTTTGTTCAGGGATTATTTTGTGTCAAGGTGCTATTGGGCCACGTGGGCTATGAATCATGCGAAAAATGGCGTATTATGTACATGCATAACGTACGCACGAAAAGTATATACGTGCTAGGTAGGAAAAGGAAAAGATGGGAGTTGGGTGGGTGGGTGTGTGTGATGTTTACCGGACGGCGGTGAGGTTTTAAATCCATGTGTCGCCGTACGTCGTCGTCGTTTTTGGGCCTAATTCGGCACGTGATTCAATTAATTTAGAGCAGCGCAAGCTTAGCTTCTATGGGCATTTGGAACACATTCGATGGAGCTAGCGATGCAGTGTCACTCGCTCACTCACGCAGCCTGCGTCCGCCGCGGGTCGTTTCGATACACCGAACTTTTAACGTGATTCTACCAGGAAAAAGGGCAGAAGAACTGTTCGCTAAGGTGGACTAAAGCTAACTTGTGAAATTTTTTAGTGATTGAAAATGCAATTCACCGATGATAGCCGATTGTCTAGAGCCATTTTATGTCACGCTTGCAGCTCATAACTTCATTAGTACTTTTTGAGCTGTAATGTTTAATTTGTCGTTGGTCTTCATATGACTCAGTAAACATGTCAATTAATTATTCGTTCCGATATTGAATATGAGGTAGCGATACCGATACTTAAAACTTTATTTTTATAAAGAATAAAAAAACTATTTGGCCAAAAAAGAAAGAAAGTGAGTTCCGTATTCTATCTATTTTATATATCACATATCAGGAGCGGAGCTACTCAGAGAGTAGGGTGGGACCCGGCCCACTCGAAAATAGTCTTGGCCTCTAAGACTGTAAGAATATTTAGACAAAATTTGGATGAATAGTACTCATATCTATACATTGTATCATATATCAATCATGTAGTCTATTGGTAGCTAAGCAAAATTTTTAGCCTAAAGCAAACAAGTTTGATCCACAACAACCTCTTTTTTGCTTTAACTTTTTTTTGGACTTTATTATCTTAATTCTCCTCCACAAGGTCCTGGACCAAAGCAAACGGATATCCACTCCTTTTCATTCTTTTTGTTACTTTAATCTAGCTACAAATAAAAAAAATCAACCTCTATTTAGTTCACTTGGGATTTTTAGCTCTATTTTTGGCCCACCCTGTCTCGAAATCCTGACTCTGCCCTGTCACATATTTTTATAATATTAAAACTGTGCGTTATTCTACCGGTATGTACGTGGTATTATTAGCTTGATTTTTGAAACCTTTCAAAAAGCATGACACAAAAAGGTTCGCTCATTAGATCTAAGGGAGGCATATATCATCTCAGTGTGCGTTGGCAGATTGTTGAACTAAACTTTATTTGAATAGCGATTAATTTGAAGAAGGGGGTGGTTAAATTATAAGCCGACATTAGAATAGTGGCCATTAGCTAGATGCCAATTGGCGAATCGATTCCCGGATTGGAAAGCCAACCCAACCCAACACAAGGATCGCAGAATATAAACACACTTACATAGTAAGTGGCCGCAAGGGAAGCCAAGTGCCATACTGCCGGGCGATCCAGCACGAAGAAGAGAAAGTCAAACGAAGCTAAAACCAACAACGCCAAAGAAGAAGAAAAAGCAGGCTGCCTGCAGGAAAAGCCAATATTAAATAAAAACAAGAGGGCAGCTTTGGCGATCCGTCCACGAAATCGAATTGACCCAAAAGGACGTATCTTTTCGCCATAACACACGGCCGGGCGGCCGGTATAAAGATAAGAAAGCTTGCTTGGTATTAATCGTCCGAATAGTTGTAGCGTAGGGATGGGAAAATTACGAGGGGAGGAAGGAAGTAGTGAGCAGTTTTGGTAGCATTTGCCCTTAGCTTGTTTCGGCTCTAATCGCGGGGCGGGCGGGCAAACTACGGAAAAAGGTTGAGTAGAAGAATCCAACACTGGACTTGACTTGGACGCTGATGAATAATGATGCCGATGATAACGCCCAGTGGCGCCACACCTGCTAACATGATTACGCTCCTTCATCAAGATAAATAAACTCAGTTTCTGGGAATATCAGCATTAAACTTGTGAATTTGGTTGAAGTAGTTTGTGATAGTCGATATTGTCCTTTTGGTGCGTACAATTATATTCATAGGGGTGGGCACGTGGGTGGTTAATTCGCGGATTGATATCGATCCACCCTCAAATAACCCGACCCGCACATAGTGGGTGATTGATGTGGGTGGATTGCGGATTGTTAAATCTCTCACCCGCACTTATGTGGGTGGATGGTGGGTGGATTGCGGGACATCCGTATCCGTATGACCCGCGTACTATTTTTACTTGGAAAAATATTGTTTCTTATAGTATCAAATATTCATCATATTTTCGAACTGCACTACAGTCTGACCATATACTTCAAAAGTTGGAGAATTAAGAATAGTTTTTACTACTATTATTGGTTATTGTGTTGTGCAATATCCATTGGATATTGGATATTGGTATGCAAATTATTGTTAATATCCATTAAATATTGAGATACAAACTATACATTATTAATTGTATCAAAATCACAAACTATTGATACAATCTTACTAATTTGCTATGAATTTATTATAAATGTTAGTCAATTTTCTTAATGGCTAATGGGAGAATTGCTTTTGCGGGTTAACCTGCGATCCAACCGCACCCATCAGCCACCCACCCAACCCAACCCACATAAGTATTCCAACCCGCTAGTGAGCGAGTGGGTCAATTTTAAACCAAAATCCATCCAACCCTCTCATTGCCCACCACTATCAATTCATGTGCACTCTTAAAGATTTTGGATTTAGATTAGGTCCAATATGAGACCCAAATTGAGAAATGAGATATAGCTAGTTTGTCTTCCCGCCTTCCCCTCTTCAATTTTACGGATAATCTAGCTAGCTAGTTTAATTTGTGTATTGTAATGAGATGGTGGTTGATAAACCCAAGGTACGCGAATTATGTTTTAAACTTTTTTTTTCTTTTGGTAGAATGTTTTAAACTATTTAAGTGACTTACTAACTACACAAAGAGCTGTGCACGCATGAGTATCATCAAACAGCAACTTGATGCAGTTTTCACCCAAAAAAAAAAAAAAAACAAGGAAGACAGTCAGACAGATAACAAGGATTAAATACAAGCAGCACCAATAAACTAAGAAATAGTTAAAAAAAAAAAAAAAAAACGTTTCATGAATGGAGGAGGTGGTGGTAAACTACAAACTTACCTTGGTGACAACAGTTGGGCGTAATAGCAAAAGTCAAATGGTGTGGAGGTCGGGGTGGATACATGCTGGTCCACTTGCCTCTCTCGAAAAATATTTGGAGTAGGGGAGCCATTTGAGGTTTAGGTAGGTCATTTGTACATTTTCGGATAATAAAAATATAGTAAAAATTTTATGTCATTGTGGATTGATATAAAATCTGTATTATTATTAACAATTTTACAAAAAAGGTTTTATTTTGCAATATCTATATAACTTCTAATTCATATATTCTGTGACTGAGTTGTATATAGACAAAAACCTCCAAATTTATGGGGTTTTTTGTTGCTATCGGTTGTCATTGCAATTGTTGAAACTTGAAAGCGCACTTAGTGTAACGAATTAAGAGAAGAAACACTTCGGAATTAGATGAATGACAAAATCATGGATGATTTTTTGGTGAGATATCTTAACATTCCTCGTGATTTGGATGATGAATGTATTTTAAAAATTCTTTTAAATGAATTTCTGACTACGCCACTGTTTGTTCGTGTTGCCGTATGCATCAAAATTAAGTTAGGGTTGATGAACGCGTTTGGGGGGTTGGGCCGTACTTGGGCCTCAATAGGGTATGGAACTATGGATCGAGTTTCTTCATTCTTTGCGAAATTTCAGCTTCTGATCCATTTGGCACATTGTTTCTGGACACCCTAACCCTAGCAGCTGGATTACTTAAGTTCCCACCTTAATTGGAGGGGAAGAAAGAAATGATATAGTCTGGTTCTGTTCTTATCTCCTAGTCCTACTCCGCGCCGCGTATATGTGTCTAGTAGTATAGTATAAAGAATCCATGTAAATGTAATTTAATTTCATGACAGCGGGAAATATTAATTGGGTCATTGCTACGTCATGCTTTTGGGTCAAAAAAGATACATTCAATATTCAATGCACATCAATGTCTGGAGGGCTGGGGTGAAACTTCCGCCGCAAGGAAACTTCCCCAGTTCCCCAAGCCGACCGAACAAACATTTATAGATGCGGCTCGTTCATGGGACTGGACCTGTTCGGGCATGACTTTACGGCGGCGGCGGCTTCCACGTTGGCAACCCCACAGATTCAGTGGTCCACGGAAAGAAAGTCAAATGATCAACAGGGGCTAATTAACTTGAACTAGTAATCAGACCGCGCTCCGCGGCGGGAGAAGTTTGACCTGTGAAGTTTTATGGATTATGGAACACTACCCTGAGCATTACTGTTGCTTAATAATCTCTGTCAATGCTACGAAACAAAAGACAGTGCATAGTAACCTTGTCAAGTCC